CTTTGAAAAATTTCACATATCTAAAACAATCAATAGAAAGAGGACAAAACTTTTTACCAAACAGATTCAGTATAAAGGAACCTCGTAAATTCATAATTCTAGAAACCACTTTCTGACATCGCAACACCCATTGCGTCAAAACGAACAAAAGGCAAGACGTGTGCTAAACGTTTAACCCACCGGATTAAAGCTAGCTATATCATCTAGTGTAAATTCAATTATTCAAAAGGAACATCGACAATTAACAAGAAAATAAAAAAATCTCCTGAGCTGGTCAACAGTGAAAGTGATTATAACCGCTGTAGCAGTTACCGTAGTTCATCATTAAGTTGACATTTGGTGTGCGACCAACTCGAAGTCCTTCCGTCAGTCTTCAGGTAATTTTCTTCTATCCTGTTCTTGTGTTGTCTCTCTTTGTTCGTCTCTTCCTTTGTCCCGTCGTTGTCCAGTCGTTGTCCAGTCGTTGGTTTCGTCCATTAGTTCATTCGTTGGTGTCATTTGTTGAGCGACCAACTAGACATGCACTCCGTCCGTCTTTATTTCCATTGTTGATTTCTGTCATCTTAGTCCTGTCGTTGTTTCGTCTTACGTTGGGCGCCATTTGTTGTGTCCACCTAGTATTAGAATTAGTGCCCTCGGTCGCCGCTCATGGCATGGTGGCTAGCCCGGTATGCTCGCCAGTTTTGGGGTGGGGTTCTTGACAACTGAGGCTACACTGTAGACAACAACAAAAATTCATGCCATGTTTTCAATTTATATCCTAACATAGCTAAACTTATCTATAATTCATTAATATTTCATCTTTACTTTTATTCATATTCATATAATAATCATTCTTTCATGCCATGTTTTAAATTCATGTCCTAACTTAACTAAACTATCTATAATTCATATCTGAACGTAACTAAACTTATCTATAATTCAAAAATATTTCACCCTTACATTTATTCATATTCATATAATTAAATAACTACACTACTTATTTCAATGCTAAAACAAAAAAAACTACTATTTATCTACTTCATTTTTACGTGACCCTAAAAGAAAATCTGTAATTAAAACCACTGTTATCTATTTGGGCTTCTTGAATTTAAAAAAATCTTCATCGAATATGATTGGAAGAGCCTTGTTCCTGGTATTCACTATTACCACCGCTGCCTTAGGAAGTTCCGTATGCGATAGGCTTACACCTAAATCACTGGTTCTGCCTCTGGGCAACCCCACTCTTTTCATTTCCGATATGATTGTCTTTTCTATCTCCCAATCGACTTTTTTAACATCACCAGCCTGCATCGTCACGGTTTCCTCAAATGTGGGAAACACTGGCAATACATCTGGTAATGCTTGCATACTGTCAGTAAACCACTTCATTTTAAATTCACGCGAAGAATATAGGAATGCAATTTCTTCTCAAAGAATCCCTGCCTTTAATAAAACAGATGTTTG